GGCTAACAAGAAAAAACCTGGCTCCGTAAAGCACCGGAAGACAACTCATTATTTTGTAATCTCCCTTCCTGTAATTCAGGATGTCCAAAAGTCAAAGGGACTCAATCTGCCTATTCTGAAAATATATAACCAAATCCAAGATCAGAAAAAGGTCCACTCACCTGGTACTTCTGCTTCCTTCTGTTAATTCCCTGTCTTTCTCTCTCCTGTCTTTCTATGATGTTTCTCTGTGTTAAATGTTTATTCTTCCTCTATTTTGATTAACCTGAGTAGATGATTTCCTTTTATCCACTGTCTCTTACAGCCTACCCAAAAGCAGTTAAACAGCTCACTTTCCCATTATTATTTTTTAATTTTATGACCTGTCATAATTATACTAAGAAATGTATTCTGACAGTTACTGTAAATGACAAAAGCATCTTTTAGCCCTTATTTCCTACACTTAGACCAGTTATAAAAGAAATAGAAGTTAATTATAGAGAATAGTTCATAATTATACTGATTTGACTATGGTTTAATAACTCTAATTTGGATTTATAAATCTGAAAGGTGCTACTGTAACTCAAGATATCACTGCTCTGATGGCAATAACACAGGCAGTACAGGCAGTGCAAAGAGCAATAGTGGTAGAGTGTGTTCTGTCAGAGCGCAGTGATAAATCAAGAGGTGAGCTTAAAATTCACATTGTACAGTCTTGTAAGTGTATTCACGTATTAGTAAATTCTCAAAAATGTACTAAAAAATAAAAATATTTCCTCTTTACTTACATGAGAATTGAAATAATTACACCTTGGTGCAAGCCAGCGGCCATATCACCCTGCAGCTCTCAACTGGCTACCCACTGAAGCTCAGCAGGTTTGAGCCTGGCCAGTACCTGGATGAGAGACCTCCTGGGAAGCTATGGTTGCTACTGGAAGAGGTGTTAGTGGGACCAGTGGTGGGCACCCACCTTGTGGTCTGTGTGGGTCCTAATACCCCAGTAGATTGGTGGGGACACTATACTGTAGTGGGTGCCATCTTTTGGATTAGACGTTAAACCGAGGTCCTGACTCTTAGTGGTCATTAAAGATCCCTGAGCATTTCTTGATAAGAGTAGGGAGTTATCCTGGTGTCCGGGCCAAATTTACCATTGCCGTGGCCTCCAAATTGTCCCCATGTATGATAGGTTTGCAGTTGTCCTGCGATGGAGTGGCGCTCTGTCCAGGGTGTACCCTGCCTGGGCTCATTGCTTGCCGGGTAGGCTCCGGTTTCCCATGACACCGTATGGTATAAAGCGGTTTGGCAGATGACATGACATAACAAATCTTGGTACATCCTTTTTCTTTTATTTGTATTTTGTAAATCTCTTAATTCTTCTAAATAGATTTTTAAAACTATTTTTTCTCCTCAATTGAAACTTAATTTCACTTGGCGCCCTAGGCGACTGCCAAGGTCGCTTACTGTATATGCATGAGCACATCCTGACTGCAGCTTAAATGTCCCTTGTGCTGCTGTGAGATCCTCTGGATTCCATCTCCAGGACTCTCTGGACTCTAGCCTGTCTTGATATTATTTACCTATTGACTTATTTGAGCTAGTACCCATAATCCCCTGTGGACACAGCCCTAGCTCCGTTGCATGGGGGCTCAATTAGAGCAGCAGACTGCATTTTTAGGGGTCACTGGGTCCAATTTGGGTAGAAAATTGGAGGTTAGTGCCACTGAGGATCACGGAGGGAGATGGGTGAGAGAAGTTGTGTGGGGTGCAGGAGTTACGTTGCATTTTGTTTGAAAAAAAGAACAGTAAAATAAAAAGGTATACAATAGGATTTTTGTCTAGATTTAGGTTCATATAGTAGATTCCCTACAGTACATTGTCTTCAGAGATGTCTTGGAGCATAATGACAGCACTTGGATGTAGGTTGGATGTATTTTGGTTTGTTCAGAATACTTAGCAAGCAAGAATACAGGGACTAAGGACTGTCACTATGAAGGTAAAAAGAGAGCAAGTAACCTGGAGCTAAGACATTTAGAGTTTGAAGGTGATTTTAAAAATGAATTAATTGGGGAGAAGGACATACATGCTTTTATAATTTTCTTACAACCTGGACCTAAGTTGTGGATTTGCTGGATTTGTAATATATTAAAAAAAAACATTCTTAGATACATCACCAAGTAAAACAAAAACGTCAAAATAAGCTTTTGGAATCTGGCTGAGAAAGAAACAAATGAATGTTTTAGCTGTTGCAAAGATGAAAAAAGACCTTAGTAGCATAATGAACTTCAAACGTCAAAAGATCAAACCATAGTTCGAACAAAAATGTTCTGTCGCTACAAAAATACCAAAAAGATTTGCCAGCTAAAGTCTTTGTAGAAAGCTCATTAACATAACCCCATTGTATCAAATAATTAAATTGACAAAGGGCTTCACACTATAATTGGCACAGAATGGAAGAGTGGTGCATTTCTCTCTGACTTCGCTACAAGGCTGAAGAGACCACGGAGTCTGCAGCAGTTGCTGCCCAAATTTCCCAAGAATCAAGAGTACTCTGGCCAACCAATCCCAGGCTCAGAGACAAGGTGGGGAGGGTAGAGAAAAACATCTTTTAGTTTGAACACTAAATATAAGCTTTAACAAATTTGCTTTGCTTCTGTTATTTAATACATGAGCAAAGGATACCAAACGACAGCACCTACACACTTGTTTATTAAAACACAATAGTTTTTCCTGTGATAAGGCAGCATACTTTACCCCAGTGATTTTTCCGATGCCAGTTGCCATTCATTCAAACAGCTCAGGAGTTTCTAGTGCTCATGTGCTCCAGGGCTTTAAAGACATTGCCCCAGGATGTTCTACTGTGCAAATTCAACTTTTAGGGCAGTAGCTGTGATAGCTGTAGGAGGAGCTAGTTGTTATGCTACAATTAAAAAAATATATATTATTCTTGTAAGATATTACAACATATAGTAATTATTGTAAATCCATCTAGTGCTGTTTCAAAACTTCCAATTCACTATATTATTTTATTTCTATATTTCTATATTTTACTGAGATGCATTGCATTTTGTAACCCCAGTAACCCCCTACTGACTGACTATGCTTGTCCTGGTATACCACTATGTTGTGTTCTCCTGTGGGAAATCTTGTTTATTTAACTGCAGTAATAAAACATGAAACAGAGGTGAGTGCATAATGCAGCCTTTTTTTATTTTTCCAAACACATGCACACAACAACTCAACTCAAATGTTCTTCAGACTTTCCCACCATCCCTTCAATACTAACTATGGCAAGCTCAACACACCACTCGACGAATACTCATCTCAATCACCTACTGTAGCAGCATGACCCAGACTTCCACCAACAACACTGGAGATGTAAAGCTTACCCTGTGCTTGGAATGAGTGCCTTTACTGGTGAAGCCACTTGGGAGAACCATGATTATGTATTTTTGTAGGCATATAAATTAAATATGAACTTATTCTACAGCAGCAGCAATAGTTAATGAAGAATTTGTTCATATTAAACTACCATAGTCATAGGAGAATCAAATAAAACCCTAATACATAAATGTATAAAATACCTATTGTAAAACAGAATTATATTGATTTTAATGCGGTGATAAAAATCACTATCCCATTTTGCAGACCACTGACATACAGCACCGACTTGGGTGATGCATGGCAGCCATTATGCACCAGCTGCCCCATTGCAAGTTCAGGTTTATTGTCATATGTACTGTACTGTACCTGCATATAATGAAATGCTTACATGTGTGCTTTACTCACATGACAAATGACATAACAGATGACATAAAAGAGGAGATCACACTGACGTAGAAAATGGCATACAGTACAAATGACATCACAATACTTGGAGACAGGGACATAATTTTAACCAGCATTAAGATAGCAGCTGTGTGCAAAATTCAAGCAGTGGCAGTATTTTGAGTTAACTACTAAATTTAAATAGTGACAGTATTTTGTATTTTGAGTTCAGTGCAAAATTCAAGCAGTAGGCAGTATTTTGAGTTCAGTGCAATTGCAGAGAGGTGTAAATGAGGGAGGATTTAGGAGTCTTTTGGCTGTGGGGCAGAAGCTTTCTGAAACAACTAAAGCCTTTATTATTTCTTGTTAGCATTTAACGTATTTACAAAAGAAAAAATATCATATTTATATAAATATGCCTTACTGCTTGGAAAATGAAACACTTGCATCAATAAAATATAAAGCTTGTTTGTTATATCTTAATTAAAACGTTGTCATCTGTTTTGCTAAACACCTGTTTTTATAGTCCCCGTGTTTTTTCTAGTATGAGTCTAGTAATAAAGTGAAGTGACAATTGTTCCAGTTTTGTCGATACTTACTGATACACAACAGAACTGTAGTGCCGAGGTTTAATGGATTCAATTAACTATTACTAAAATAGTATTGTTCCAAATACAATGTCATATTATTTTTATGTTTTATCACGTCATTGACAAAAAGCCTTTGATTCTGAGTTGTCTGTCATCTCACAAAAACTTCACTTCTGCGAAACTCCTACAATAATTCTTTTTCATTAATAACATAGTTCAGGGTTTTAACCTAAGCATTTATAATTATTTATTATTATCTGAAACGCAACTGGATGTTTAGGCAGTATTTAATTTATTGCTAGTCCACCTTTTATCCTACGCAAATACAATAATTCTAGTCCTAGTTTGATTTCTATATATATTTTTAATTTTGTGAGCTCATATATTGAAATTCTATAAAATATAGTAATAATATTATTGACGTGGTGAAATAGCTTCATATGGAACTTTATTATTTAAAGGCGTCCTATTTAAACGATTAATTTCTTACTGTAAGTTAAGTGTAACAATAAAATGATAAAACATGAAATCATACTTTGTTGCCCATCATTCACTCACTGGATATTATCACCAGTTTCAGATTAGTTTTAAAAACACAAAACCAGTGTGGTAATGTAGATTCAATAAAACTATCATGATTACTAAAAGATAAAAATGTTTCCTTACCTATAAGAAGTAAAAAGGCGCCCGCTCCGTAATCGACAGCAGGTGACATCTTGGATAAATAATGGTTTTCCATTGGCGAATATGTCTTCCAAAAATATTAATCTGTACATACGTATGATTATATACCTTATGTATTACTTAGAAGTGATAGCTACCTGCGAATGTTTAATATAGCCTCGTTGTGTCCTAATAATTAAGGTTTGAATTAACAATACTCACGAGAATGTTAAATACAGAACTTAAAGGATAGCGCTGTCTTGTTTCCCTATCATCTTCTGTGCTCAACTACCTTTTTTTTTCTCCGAAAGCTCCGGCAGTGTCTTGCTTTATGTCACAGATCCCTTCAACTGAAGTGAGTGGATAGGATAGGCAGGACTCCCTCTCCTCCAAAAGACATCGGAATTCCTCTTCTGGAAGATTTTTTTCTGCTTTAACTGGATTGGTCATAGTTCTCATTTTGACGTCATATTAAGAGATGAACAACAAGCTAGTTGATAACGCCAACGGGAGTAATAAAGTAATGAAGAAATAATAAAAACCTTTTTTTGTTCCTTTGCAAACACGGTTTGTGAACATTTCTGCACAACAATAATGTGTTTTCAGATAGCAAAAGGCTGTTAATGCCAGCATTATCATCAAATCTAGCATAACATAGCAAAAAAAACGGCTTGAAAAACAGATTCTACAGGATATATATCACAAGGTTTAACCTGACAAGTAGAGTATCAGAAAATAACGGATGTTTTTCAAATGCATAAACTCAGTAGAGCAGTTTAATTCACAGGGACAGCACGTTTGTGGCGAAAGCCACTCTTTAACAATAGAATAACGGATTAATAGTTGCATTTACAAAATCACTGAACTGTTTTTAGTTTTAACAGAAACAATGCCACTTATTTCCAACGCATTTTTGAGTTTCCCGTCTCTTTGACTTTCACGAAAATTATCAAGATAAAGAGATTTTGATACTTTTCTGCATGTGTTCTTTGTGATAGAAATCCCGTAAAATATTTTTCCATGTGACTAGTACACAATTCTTCAATACTCTTTAATCTGTATTTTTTAGTGTGTAGTGGAGATTTTTGAAATTCGTCTCACATCAGCTATGCTTTTTGTGCCCGCAAAACCATGTCAACTTCGTGGATTTAAACCGTTGATAAAGACATCTGACGCACGATTGACATCAACTGGATTTTGACGTATGTTACTTAAAGAATTTTCATTTACACATTATTTAGGTAGAGACAGTAAGCCATTTACCCTTAACAAATGTGCTGCCGTCTACAGAAGAACAGCGACTTAATGCCGTAATGCCTTACTGATGTTCGGTCTCCAAGTCACAAAAAAAGGACACAGAAAAATATGAAGGAGGTTCATCAAGAAGGATTTCATTCTTTTACTCAAAAACACCACCCCAATAAAATATTCTGTCCAGTACTGGTTTCACAGGTCACCGTACCTCTGCCACATTTAGATGGTGTAGAATGACCAAATTTGGATGAAAATGGGGGAAAAAGGGATTTGTCGTGAAGCTGAATCCCTTTTGAATTTTTTAGCATAACACAAAAAGACACAGCAAATGTGTTTGAATGTCTGAGCATCCATTGTTTTTTTTAAGAACTGAATAGATTTATATCAAGTGAACAATCTCTAGAAAATAACATTCAACCTAGTAAACAAGATATTTAGTTAATTAGAAATGTGTGAAGTACAAAAGTGTGATTCTGAGATGTAATGATCGTTTTACAATACACTCTGGAAGCCTATGAATGCAGGGAAAAGGGACTTGAGGACTCGGGACTAACATCCTGTATGGGACGAGGCAGCTAAACCTTTCGCACCCCCAGTTCGAACTGTCCCCCTGACCTCTCCTCTTTCCCCCTCAAGGATCACCCTTTCCCAACTCTTCCTCTACAAAATGGGGAACCTTTCATGATTTACTGTACAACAAGATGCTGCTAAGTCTTTTGTTTCATTGTCTTCACTGAAACCACAATATTTTCAAAATACATTTGTCCCTGTTACTCTCTGTCAGCCAAGCTTCAGAGAAGCCTGTCACAGTGTTTTTGTATGCGCAGTACCTTTTAGTTCTGATATTTTATTTTGATAAAAATAAAGTTTGTACAAACTACAAACAAGAATGGCTTTCTTTGGAACTTTGCTGGAATGTTTCTCATTGTGTTTTTTATCTTTTTTCTTTTCCTTGTTTCCATTCAAAAATAACCTCTCTGTTCTGATTAAAATGCGAGGTACTTGAAAATGCTGATGGTTAACTCATTTTTGCTGTTCCTTGATTTCTGGTCAAAATAAGGACGCGATATCCTTGTATCCATACATTCAGAAATGTAAAACTGTTTTAAATCAATACACGTATAACTGCATATGATATTAATAGAAACGTAGAGGATATATTTACAAATAATCTGCTGAAATGTATTTAGAAGAATTCTATGTAAACAGGATTCTGGACTACAACAAAAATCTTAGTTTGTCTATGAGATTCTAGCCCACTTATGGAGTTAGACAGCTAGTTTGTATTTCTGATGTAGCTGTAGATGTCATATTTTGGTTGACCTGACAGAGAAAGTTATTCATTCTGTTCTTAATTGGTAAGTTGATCAGAAAACAGACTTGGTTCTTCCTCATCATTACTGAGTTTAACCTGCGACATTTGTTATTAGTGAAAAATTGTTTTTTTACATTCTTTGGTTTGTGATAAAGTGTACTCAGTGCTAATGTGTATTGATCTTTGATGTTGTCATTTTTTTAACTGAGTCATAATTCACTATTGAAACATTCAAGATCTCTCTTATCTGGCTTCATACTCCAGTAAGACTAATGGAACTTCAAGGGAACTGCTTTTAACTATTTTTTTTCAGAAATATATGACAATTAAGGTAAAAGCAAAGGAAGTGAGATAATAATAATAATATAATTGCTTACACTTATAAAGTGCTTTTCTGGACACTCCACTTAAAGCGCTTTACTCCACCACCACCAATGTGCAGCATCCACCTGGATGAGATGAGCAGAATCCTTCATTCAGTGAGAATGGATAATGGTAAGAACTGTAGGGGGTATAGCGGTCAACTCATTATACTGGTATCGCTAACCAGTTTGTCCACTACAGACCGTATGCATTTCCTCAGAGCACATGCTGCATGTAGATAATCCAAGTGACACAGGCACACAAAAATACAAACTTCTGAAGATGCTGAAGCAGGATGAATAGAAAGGATTTTTCCTCCCCTCCCCTTCATGTTAGTGAAAAAAAACAAACAAACACTCCTTTAAAAGTGCCAGGCAAAGATTGGCATTCTTGTTCGTATTTGGAAGCTTTCGTGTATAGAGATCATTGATTGTGCCCTTTTAGCATCTGTGAGCTTACCTGAGTAGAATTATCTGGTTCATAAAAACTTTAGAAACTTGATATCCCAGGCAAAGATATGTACTTTATCCTACTGAATGTATTAGGGTTTGTCGGTGATAATTCTAAAATTTGAAATACTACTGCTCTATAAGACCCACTGCTACATCAGTGCATTGTTCACTCCTTATCCACTTACACATCATTTGTGCTCTTTGAACTCTGGTCTTCTTTCAGGTCTTAATGAGATGCTCTACACTCTGAACACTGGGAGGCTGTGCTTTCTGTTCTGTTGTTCCAGGACTGTTCAATGATCTTCAATGTTCAATGACCAGCCCATATCAGACTCATTAGAATCTCACTATTCACTCAGTACTTTTCAGATCCTGTCTTTAAAGTCATTCTTATACTCTAGCTTTTACTTCTGTTGCTGTATTTATTTATGTATATAGTATCTACCTCTTTTTATGAGTTTTTTATGAGTTTTTTCATTGTAATGTACAGCAGCTTGGGATGATATACAGGTGTACTTTTGTATAATTTGTGTTATTAAAAAAGGTAATTATTAAAATAATTGAGAGTGTGAAGTTTGAATGTAATTTATTGTTTCAGCTATAGGCAACTCTAAGAATACAAAAGTGTCTCTAAGAATCTAAATACATTGGATAACACCTGTTAAGTGTCAAAATTTCCAGCTTCAAAATAAAATGATGTTTGGCTGAGATGTATGGGGTCCAGATTCAGTGATCAAAGCAAAAACATTTAGAGTAAAGTTTACCTAGGTTTACCTGAGTCAATTAAGCTCTTTAAATAAATGATTAAATTAAATCAACAGTCCAGAAATACAGCATGTAAGAGGATGGTAAAGCAGAGAGAAGAGGGTGGGGTAGAGAAAGAGGAAGATATCGAAGGTGAAAGTTCCAGATCACCTGGAAAAAACAGATTGGAGCTAAGGTCTTGATCCTCGCCAAGAGAGCTTGTTATTCTGTGGTTTTAGTAAACTCTGATTTCCTGGTAAAGAATCCTACAGTTAAAATGTTCTCCCCTGGTTAGTGGGTGTATTTCTAGAACAGGAAGACAGGTTCACGTTTATTTAGTGGCATCGGGGTTTGCAGAGAGAGAGATTTAACTGCTGGTTGCATTCTGTTTAGTTTTTATCTATTTTTTGGGGCTTATGGTAGCCTTTTGGCTACCTTGTAGCAGTCTGGGATTTTTTCTGGGTGGTTAGAACATACAGTATGACTCAGGAATGCCTTATTTGTATATTTGTAGATAACATAACTTATAAAGTATGTTGTATATTTATGCATAGTTTAGTGTGTTTATTGTCACTATTAATAAATATTTATTTAACTAAGCGTGTAAGAATTATTACTCTTTTCACCAAAGCTGTGCCGGAGAATAAAGAATTAATGTGCCTCTATAATCTAAAGTATATTCTTGGCAAATGCTTTACCGGTTGGGGATTATGATTATTTTATGTATTGATTTATCCATTACCGTTGCCCCCTGCTTGTAATAATATGAACTCTGGAACTCATTCTGTCCTCACATAATAGTCAGTATATGTCACTTAATAGTCAGTATATGTCAGTTTGTGTGTTGTGATGTTGTTAGTTTTTTTAAAATACGTAACCTTTAAGCTATTACGTATTTCCCAACAGGTCACAGACATAAAATGTATTAAAAAAAATTAAACAGGCTACAAACATAATGATTTTATGTAAAGACTAGAAACTTACAAACATAAATATTTTATAGCACTTACCAGGAAATAAGGGTTATTTTTAAATGTTCTGATGTAAACAATGTAGCAATACATGTTTTCAGAAACTGATGATGTATGAACCTGTTGTGAGCAACACGTTATTTATTTATGTGGTAGTGGTAGTTGTGTGAGGCTAAGCTTCTTGATATACTGTGAATCCCCCACAAACAGTTAAATATGCATGACTTACATTGTTAACACCTTTGAGGGCTGAGCTCTGTAAACACAAGGAGCTGAAACACTGGTGTTACAAATGCTTTCCTGCCACTTCCAGTGTTATCTTACTGGGATGT